AGCCTAAATCTCCATTAGAAGCCCTAAGGTATTAAAGCTTCCAGCCTTGGCCTTTACCAAGGCTTTGCCTTTGTAAGCCACTTTAGGCTGCCAACCTAACTAAGGCTTACTTCGTACCGACCCATGTCCCCGTCATTTACTCTTGCGACCCCTCCCCTTCCATAAGCCCGAATCGCAAAACAAGATCTGGGGGGGGAGGGGGGGGGGTTTATTAATGTGATGTCAACATTAGGCTTTTGGATTTTAAGTTGAGGGCTCATGGGGATATATGGGGATGCAAGGATATGTACACATAGGTAGGGTCTAGGGATTAGGGTCTAGGCGTCGAGGAGACTTCGCACCCTCTGCAAATGTACTTATAATACGCATAAACTATGTCATAAGCCCAGTTGCTGTCATTGCCAACGTACTTACGAAGCCCCAACCCTCGAGGTAAAGGTCGTCTCCAGCCAGACAGGACCAGTGATTCCGCAACCCCTTGATGTTCCATATGAGCTGTAGACTGACCTCCTCGCATCCCCTTAACAGCCCTATAGTAGTCCCTATACAATCCCCTATGACCCCCTGTAAGGAGTTTAGAGTATAGCTCTAATATGGCGTTTGCAGGCAGCCGGGAATTCAGGAATAGAGCCCTATAGTAGCTGATCTCCACCAATCTAGCAGCCTCCAATCTCCTCTTCCTTCCTTCATTCATTCACCACCAACCACCCGAAAACATAAATCACGCTGCAAGCCTTAAAGCTCTAAACTGTAGTGTCCATCTTCTACTGCATTCCCTCTAATCACCACCAGTAGGTGCAGGGCTGAAATAATAGTTTCCATTTCATTTTCCATTATCCCAATACAACCCCAATATACACCCTCATATGATACCCCTAAATAGTACAGTCGTTTTTTTTCCGTTATCCCAACTGCAAGCTCTGAGGTGCTGGCATTCGGGAGCCTCAACAGGGCAAACTGCCGCGCCACCAATCATGGCATTGCCAACACAATCAGTGTAGTCGTTACTCGTTAAAACACTGGGATAGTAACATAAATTATCCCTCATTGGGCTGCAGTATAGTCGAAATCAAGCAGTTTCTTCCAACAATGAATTCAGGGTCTATGATGAGAGCTCTCTTGTGCACTCTTTTGGGTGAACAGCTCTGATACAGCTCCTTTTGGACACAGCTTAGCTACTGGCTCTTTCAGGTGTCCGCACCTTGCACAAAAGGATCTCGGTGTCTGGTCTCACCATGAAATCGCATGGCTCCGACTCCTGGTTGTCGGGATGTCTTCTGCACAGGTAGCAGGCTTTTCCAGATGGGTTGGGGTATAAGACAGCTTCCACGTGAAGGTTTCCACAGATTAGCGGTTCCTGCTTGGGAGGCCCTATCATTAAGATTATTAAATGTGACGGTCTATCTCGGGATGGAATCTTTATGTTGCAGTAAAGCGCACGAAGCCAGAAACACATTGCGGGTCCTCGATGCACAGAAGGTCCGGATTCTCAGTCACGGTACGGTCCACCTCTGGAACTTCCTCCTCTTCCTGCCAGGGCGCAAGGTCATGCGGAAATATCCTCTGCACAGGACACTGGCACACCTCCTCGTCCTCCATTTCATCGTCCACAGCATCCTGAAAGGTTTGTCAAGTAGCTCAGTGGCTTGCAGGCCTGAATGTATAGTTCCAGCACTGTGTTCCGCACCACTTCCAGCAAGGAGTCCACCTTCAGCGTGCGGACTTTTGCTCAAGATACAGCAAGGGTTCTGGCCAGCTAGCTCCTTGAAGCACGAACCAGAACGGTGCATTTCAGCAAACATGTCCCCAGTCAGCGCAACACCATCGAGCAACACCATCGATCTTGCTGCATTGAAAGCGCACCCCAACCCACAGAGTCTCACGCCATGGATGCTACATACTCTGACTGTATACAAACGCAACTAGGATGGCTTCATACGAGCTAGTCGGTACAACCTGTGCACGAAATGGACATGGGGCTGATTGGGGAAAATATTGAAACTAAGATGAGCTATCACAACCATCCCTGTCTGCCCGCGATGACAAGAGCTCTTGTATGGCAGGAGGTTGTAATGGTCGTGAAATATATCCACTCGTCATAATTTCTCATGCAGTTTTTACACCAGGGGTTATATCGGAGTGTATACTGTCCCTATTATCCCCCTATAAAACCAAATCATAATTCCCATATAATCACTCACTGTCAGTGCTTGTGACAACAACGGATCATGGTGACTGAAGCAGCGTCCCTACATATGAGCTATAGTCTCAACTCCCGTTATCCCCCTGAGTAACACGCGCAATACTTCCCTGTATAATATCCCCCCCTTTAAGGAGTTTGGACCCTAAACCCGATATCATGCTCTACATAACCCGCGTTAAAGGAGTTTAGACCATAATATAGATATATATGTATTTAATTATTTTTCGCGAGACCACAAGTTGGCGCGGAGCGACCTCTCACTTTAAGATAATCACCTCCCTCTTATATAATCCCTGTATTCCCTACATATATATATATATAAGGACTCTACGGGGTTTATATGGGAATTGTACAGGGTCCCTATATAATCCCCATATAATAAACTCCCTTATTCCCCACCACCCCTGCCATGGGGACACCCTCATGTGCCCCAAAGCGTTATCCTCCTCGCTATAGAGAACCCCAACAAGGCCGAAAATTTCTGGAAACCCCCAGTCCCTACAAAAAAACCTACACAAACCAAGTTTCAAGTTCATGTTCCATGTTCTTCCCAGTAATTCTGCATGGTTGGGGTAGTATCCCTACCAAAACGGGACCCGTGTTTTTCGGAAAAAAACACCAGGTAGAAGGCCCAAAAAAAAAAGAATGAAAAGAAAAGCCTTGCTCCGAGCCCGTCCAGATGGAGCACCTCACAGATAGGGCGAAGGTTGATGGTTCAGGGTTTAGGGTTTAGGGTTTGGGGGTTTAGGGTTTAGGGTTTAGCTGTCATTCGGGCCAAGGGAGGGACCAGGCTGTAGGGAAATCCTGGGGAGCAGAAAGAAAATGCACTGTTGTGCAGTGACTTTAACTGTATGTAAGGATGATTGTGAGAAGCACCTAAAAAGCAACGACTCACCAACCTTTCAGAAGGCCTGTTTCAAGAACTTGTCCATATAGAAAACCATTTGGGTTGAGGTTGGGTGAGGGCACTGTAGTTTGCCTAGCCTGCCTCAGGAACAAGGCGCCCGTACTCTTCATTCTCGCTACAAGCTTCGTATTCTTCCTATTGGGCTTATATAAGGTTTATGTCGGGATACTGGAAAGAAAATGGAAGCTGCTATAATGGGTTATATAGGGTTTGGGGGTTTGGGTTTTGGGTCTGCCCATACTACTGTTGACACTAAAAACCGTGCATGCCTTTACTGGCCTTTGGTTAGCTAGGAATGAAGGAATGGATCCTTATAGTAGTCCCTATATAACCCATCAAAGTAGTTCCGTGTTCTTCTCCATTCCTCCATTCCCAGCTAACCAATTTCAAGGCCAGTTTAGAAACTACATTACCAGAATTCCAAAGGTAAAAAGCACTTAAGGCCTTTCCAGCTTTGCAACCTTCACCGTAGGTCCGGAGGATGCATAGACAAGTAGGGGGGACCCTTGTGGTTTATTGGCGTTGATGTCGTGGAGCACCTGGGCCACTGGGAATATGACGGCTCTAAGGGCCATGTAGAGGCTATACACGGAAATGGAAAGGTTCCCACTAGGGGATCCCTCCAGAGAACACTCAAAGTCGGGTACCTTTGGCACTGAGCAGCTGACAAGTAATCTACACTGTCATGTCGCAAGGCCCCACGTCATGACTTGATTATGCAGGGACTTCAGATCCCAGGGTTATAGTCCCCCTTAAGTAGATAGAGTATGGCTTTGCTCATATTGGAATAAGATCCCCAATATACCCCATATTCTATCTACTTAAGGGGGACTATAAGAGTTTAGGGTTTAGCCGTACCTTGCGCCCCGAAGGTGATTATTTGAAGGTCTGGTTGGCGGTCAGACTCAAAACCATCCTACCATTCCAAGACTACACTGCGGTTTAGGGTTTAGGGTTTGGGGTCTGGGGTCTAGGGTTTGGGGTCTAGGGTTTGGGGTTTAGGGTTTAGAGCATGATACTAGTTGCATCATAGATGTGCCTGATTTGCAAACACATTCAGCAGTCTGTTGAACGGATCCCTAAAGTGAAGTTTCTCCATGTTCTCCATCTATGGTGCTTGAACGGGAACCCTCCTATTGCTTCAGAATCCCTCATGTATTTTGGGGGACCCTGAGAGCCCTTCCCTTTCTGAAAAACCTGAAACCCCTATCCCTAAACCCTGCACCGTATGTATGTAAATGCAGAAATATATCTACTTACGTGTAGTCCTTTTACAGACTACCTAGCTTACTCTAGGGGCCTAGATAATTGCCAATATAATCTTGAAGTCTAATCGAGGTAACTATTACTATCATTCTGCAAGGAATGAACCATGATATTGTTGATTATCCAAGCATATAAAATATGTACAATACCCCAGTTTCCATGGCATTTCCCGTTCTCTTTCTCGCTTCTTCCTCCATTATTGGGGAATGATCATCCCCATATGGGTGGTTGTCAAAATTATGGTACCCTTTTGGGTACCCTAAATATTAGGTGCCGTAGTATAATAGGGACCCCAAAAAAGGGCCCATAATTTGGACAACCACCAATATAGCCCCATAGCGATTTCAGAGGCAAAGCGATGGAATCTTGGGAGCCTGGACCACCTGTGCCACCAGGTACGGCGCAGCCCCCAGGAATCTCTACCTTGGTTGTTGAAGGTCTCCAAACATTATCACAAGTTCTTGTAGAGGGCAGATCCCCAGCAACCTGCAAAGATGACAGACCCTCGAAGAAGGACTCCGTTAAAGCGGACTATACCGAGGAACCCTGAGTTCTCACAGAGTTTATCCTATCCACGTGGTTCTGAAGATGTACAAGCCCCCACATCCTAAACCCAGACCCTAAATCCTAAACCCGAAATCCCTAGACCCCAAACCCTGAATCCTGAATTCTATACCCTTCTTCCGCTCTAAACCCCAACGCAGGTTGGTACTTTCTGAAGCCCTCAGAGGAGCAGGTAAGGAATCTGAAAATCGGAAGTGGTCTTTGATTGTTGACGAAGAATAGCCCCCTAATGGTTATGAATGTTATGAAGTTCTAAAGCACACTAAACACTAAACTCTAAACCCCAAAGCACCACCCAGCTGCGCACTTCTGCAAGCTTGACGCGAAGAGGCTCTCAAGTTCGAAGCCCAAGCCTTGCAGTAGGGTGTATAAGGCTGCATGGGGGTATACTGGGGTTTGGAACCTGCCCTTTCAGGGTTAAGAATCTTGCCATTCCTCCGCTCAGAGCAAGGCGTGGTCACCCTGCCCACCCTATAGTCCCTTTTAAATAGACAGAATATTAGGGCCATATAGGGATAATGGAAAAGAAAATGGAAACTACCATTTAGGGTTTAGGGCTTAAAGTAGATAGAATATGGCTTTGGGTATATTATAATCAGATCCATATACCCCATATTCTATCTACTGTACTTAAGGGGGACTATAAACCCTAAACTGCCTCTGGTCATCCCGTAGTAGGGGTCCAACTTCCATTCCTCACCGCCCACGCTTAAGGCCCGAGCGATCTCCGATGAGGATGTAGTAGATCCTCAGAGACCCACGGAGCCCAATACCCCTTGATCCAGGGATATACCCTATATCATACAAGGGATCCTAGTATCATGTAGGGTACATGGAATATTCCTGAATTAAAGGGTATTCGGCTCACTAGGGAGAAGGATGAAAGGAGAATTGCCCGACGTTCCTTGTGCACGTCTCAATCACTACAACGTGTCCTAAGGGGTCTCTCAGGCTCTGCCACATATGTTGAAGACCCAGCCCCATTCTTGGAACCTCCCCTTACTCAGATGTGCATGTGCATATGTACACATATGTGACTGCATACCCCTGTGTGTCCCCGCATATCCCTATGTATCCCCTGTGTCTACTGTTACAGATTCCTATGCATACCTGGATACATCCCTATTACATATAACTACGCATGTATGCCCCTATTTGCCTCCAAGTGGCGAGCGCACTCGCTTGCCCCACCAAGACTTCTCACCAACTGCGCGCCGATATCGGTAGAAAAGCTTCTCACCGCTGATCTCGCCAGGGTTTTGGGTTTAGGGCGTGGGTCTTAGGGCTTAGGGTTTAGGATCTCGAGCTTGCAGGTCCTTATCAGGAGGTTCTCCTCGAACAATTTCCAAAAAATCCCAATTTCATGCTGGAAGCACCTCCAAAAACCATTCGAGCAAATTGGGTGTGTATATATATACTGTTATATATATATATACACAGATATAGATATATCAATGTAGTTGTTATTGCAAGGGCATTGGTGCAACATTGCGAGAAATGTTTCGAAGGATCCGTAGTTTCATATTAGCCAGTGCCGGATTGCAGACACTTGACCTCCGTAGAGGCCTGCACCATGACCAATATCAATTTGAGATCTTGTTCGAAGGACCCTATACCACCACCATACCACGAATCTAAGACCATGATATAGCTGATATTGGTAATGACCACTACAAA